TTTACAAAAAATATTTATAAAATTAATTACACTTAAACTGATTTTTTCTTTGTTGTTTAAATTGATTCAATTTGAGCTATTTCTGTTCCATCGTTTCGCAACATACTTCTTTCAGTGATGCTTATTGTTTCTGACAGTTACATTTGAGAAAAAATTGAAAAAAAACAGCACTTCAATGAGTAAGAAAATTTAAAATATGTAAGAAGAATTGAATTCCTTAATATCTGATGTAATAAGAATTAATTCTTAATATTTGACGTAATCATTTGATTGGCACAAATTAGACTGAGCAAAACTTAACAAAGTGAATAAAATATTGAATAAAAGGTACTAAAGGTGTGTAAACTGTAATAAGAGGAAAAGTTTAAAAATAACATTACACTTTTAAGTATGTAGCAATTTGCTCGAAATGATTGAAATTGTTCAAAATGCAATTTGATAGATCGATGAACACAATACAATTAAAATATTTAATCATCGACAAATAGATATAATACTTTTAATTAAAAAAAAATTTCAAATGAGAGAAAAAAGGAAGAAAAGAAAAGAAAATTGCGATAAGTGATATGATATATCGAGCAGTATCATATCTTATTGATGCATTCTGTGATATCAAAATTAAGAAATAGAAATGTTAAAGTGCTCACATAAAATTAATTATAATAAAATCATAAAGATATCAAATAATTTTAAAAAATTTCAAATTGTTTATATCGTTATCAGTGCGTAAACTGTCTGATAATTTGGTTCAAATTCATACTTTTCATTTTTAATTCATATTTTTTATTAAATTATTTTATTATTGCTTCAATAAAGTAAAGTGTAAGTGTAAAAGAGAAGTCCAAATTGAACTGTACGATAGTGATCGAAATAGTTTTTTGATAGTTATGAAATTAACGAAATTTTACCTGAATGAACGTAACATTGGTGGCCTCTTTACCGTCTTTAATCTTGCTAATTTTCTCAGCAATTCTTCATTCTCATTTTCAACATCCTAAATTTTTATAACTTAAAGTTTGAAATTGCTTAAAACTAAGTTGTTGCAAATTTTGCTAACCTGCAATCTAAGTTGTGTTCGACGCAAATCTTCTTCCGCAAATTTTAACTGATCTTTCAAATCTGCTTCACGTTCCAATATATCATGCATTTCTTTACTGATATCAGAACTGGTCGAATTATTCGACAAATCGGTGCTGGTTTTTTTCTCCAAAATAAAATGATTTTTCCACTTTTTTCCGGTTCTTATTTCAATTTTACAGATAATCGTATTACTTTATGCAGTTGTTAAGGTTATTTGAAATTATTTCAAATAAATAATACAAAATAATAATGATTTTAATATTGAAACTGTTTGTTCATTAATTAAATGTGTGTTTATTAATTAAATTAATTTAACAAAATATGTATACGTATAAAATTGTATGTTTATTAATTAAATGAAAATATTAATAAATAAAAGATACCGCTTGTAGTTCAGCTCGATTTCGTGCTTCTCGCCATTTATTTTGCGTTTGTAATTCACGAATTTTATCCTTCATATAAAACACTTCATCCTAAGAAATTCAATAATTTTGCATATCTTTGAAGATTTAAAAAGTTGAGAAAGTATTGCTTGATCAAAATTTCTGAATTATTTTTTAGAAATTATATATACGTATTCATGATATATAATAATAAATCAAGTATTTTTAAATACCGTTGATATATGATAATCAATATTAAATCAAGTATTGTTAATTGAATACTACTACTATTACTATTATTGTAACTATCTTACCTCTAATTTATATCGTTTTTCTTCTGCATTTTCAAGTTCATTATGCAATCTAACGGAAACTTCTTTAGCAATTCTTAACTCCGATTCAAGTTCTCTTACGCGTATTGTATCCAGTTGTTTTCCGGTTTTCTGTAAGCTGCCAGTTACAGACGAGGCTTCTAACAAATCCTGTAAAAAAAAATCGCTAAGTATTATTGAATCTTGCAAAAAAAGTTTTTGATTTCATCAATTTGTTAATCTTCTATATCATTTCGTAAAAAAATATTTAAAACTTAAGCTATGAGAAACTTTTTCAATCTTCTGCTAATTTATTAAAAGAGCTAACTTTTAAGATAATTATCGTATATGCTTATTTACAACCGTTCCTATTTCTCTTTACTTCTATACTTTTACTCTATCATCATTCTAACAAATGAATTTGAAAATTAAAAAAAAAAGAAACTGTTTATGATCAGAGAAATAAATTTAATGGATATTGTAAATAATGTCTTGATGATAATAACACGTGATAAAATTAATAATTTTATTTAGCTTACTTTTACTTTAGCTTCAAGATGTTGCTTCTCGGCATCGAGTTCCTCACGTGTACGTTCTGATTTACGAAGTTTAAATTGTAAAATTCGACAATTTTTAGCATTTTGCTCCAATTCACGTTGAAGTTCACGAAATTCTTCAATTTCTTCCTCGCGATACTGATCCTATCAAAACTCTTTTAATGTAAATAATATGAATAAATCATTAAATTAAATAACTGAGAAAAAAATGAGTGCAAAATAGAAATTTTTCAAAAATTGATTAAAAACTGCTATAAACTAAATGAAAAATTTTCCTCATTTGAATTTTTCATCAAATAAATATGAAACTCAATTTCTTATAATAAAATAAAGAATAGAATTAAAATTTTTCCAATTTCTGTCTTAGCAGCACTTTTCAACCAACTAATTAATCCATCAAATTTTGACAAATGAAAACATGAAAATGAATAATTACACTAACTTGCATTTCTTCAATTTCCTGTTGTAAATCTTTAATATCTGCTTTTAGTGACTCATTCTCCTCCATTAGCTCATCACATAACGATTCCGAAGCTTTCAATTTCTCCATCAATTTTGCATTCATTTCACTATGGCTAACACCTGAACCCGAACCTTCGCATTCCTGTTTTAAAATAATTTTTCAATCAAATTCATTCATTCTTTCCACTAAAAAATGCAACATATAATATTGAGAAAATTTTTCAATCATTAAATTTTGAACGATGATCATATGCTATTTGAATATATTCATTTCATAACTTACTAATTTGAATTTTTGAATTATTAATGAGATATTTATGATACTTGAAAAAAACGATACTTGACCTTATCTTTACCTGCAATTCTCGAAGTTCACATTTTAAAACAGTATTTTCATCACGATAATCTTGAATGCAATTCTCCGCTTCAGCTAATCGCTCTTCAAGCATTTCAATCAGCGATTCATCACTTGAATTTTGGCATTTCTCTCTCAAAAAAAATTCTATACATCGCTATTGAAGAATTAATTAAAATATCTTATTATCCTTTGTGGAGCTCAAATTTTCTTTTTGTCTTTCTGATTCCCGAATAACACTGCGATTAATTTATAAATGGAATTGGAGGTTATGCAAATGCAAATAAGGCCTAAATTATTACAATGCAAAATAGTTTTCATGCGACATTTTGCTTAATGAAAATTAGTAAAATTTCAAACCTTCTCGAAGTCCATTTTTGTCTTTCTTCCTTCAGTTTAGTTACTTCTTCCCTTAAATGTGCTATTTCCGCTCTCATCATTGCTGCATCGAAATTCTGCATGGAGACAAATTAACATTTTCGATACGAATTCTCAAATTATTTTTCAATCTAATTCTATTTCCGTAGTTTAAGTTTAATAAAATTTTCTTTCGTTTCTCTATAGCGTTTAATAAAATTCCACATTCTATTTAACATTTCAATTATTAACAGTAATTTAATTACTGCAACTTCTTATGACATACAAAAAGAAAAATAATTCTCCACTATTTTTCTTTTATACAATTTAGTATCGAAACAAATTCCAAGCAGTAATTTTACACCTTTCCTTACTGTATATACCTTTACATAACATCTTAACCACTATCTTACGTATTAAAATTGTCTGAAAATTCAAAAAAAAAAGTTTCAATTCCTATTAAATAAGTCAATAATGTGCAAAATATCAATCCCGACGATTCGATTATCTCTTAATCAG